CTATTTCTTCTATTTTGATCTTGATCCGATGAACAAGAAACGTAAGTGCTACTGGTTGCATGTCGTGCTTTGCGAGTGATCCCAGGGTCAAGTCGCACTAGTCGCATTTTTCACATTGCTCCATATGCATACATACATATGTACTACGTGTATAAAAAGTCTTCGTATGAGAAGACGATGTTTGCAAAAAATCGACTCTTCTTGCTTCATTCGTATTGAAATTTTTTTCCTTCTTTCACTCATGTGTGCTTAGTGCTTTTCTACAGTCAATTTGCTACATATACATATGCATGTGAAAAGTATGTTTGTACATTTGTTGGCCTGTATAAATACACATGCGTTCATGAAAGCGCTTATCAGCGTACACAAGTAGATATATGTATTTATTTGTCTGAATTTACTTGCCAGAAATTGTTTTCTGCTTTTCTATACTTGTAACATTGATTCAGAACGATACTCAAAGATGCACTTCTCGCTATGCATGGTACATTAGGCTGGATCGCGAAAATATTTTTGTAACTTCACCCTCTAGCTTGAAAGCCAACTCTGAGGGGAGTTTTGGCTCATACAAATTTTCATCCTTGGGGAGTATGATTCGAATTCCAAGTGTGATGTATCATTGGAAAGGTAGTTTTAAGTACTAAACATTCATATAAGATAATTGCGGCCTAAAGAGCTGTGTTTTCCTCTCGTTCAAATATAAATATGTAAATTTCTAATAAATCAGAATGTATTTTGTGTTCTTGTAAGTTGTATTGACAATGTGGAATATTTACTTCTGCTAAAAGTAAAAATTTTGTAAAACATCTACCTAAACCACCTAACCCATTTAGGCCGATTTGCACATTTTCATTAACCCTTTCAAAATTTGTTTATTTCTCCTTCGATTTTCTTCGCTAGTTACTTGATTGTATGGCAACAGCACAGGCTTTAGTACAAATTATTTGTTGTTAATTTTTTTCCTTTTTAAAGTTTGAATTTTGTTTTCATTAAAATGAAAATATCTTGTGAAAATTAACTGATCTTAAAAACGGTTTTACAGATCCGTAATCTACAACCCAATCTTAAGTTCACGTGTTTCGGTGTTTTTTGTTGTGTTATTTAAAAAACTGAAGATTGACAAGTAAGAAAGTCTAAGTTCGGGCGGAGCCGAACATTAAATACCCGGCGCAAGTATTAAATATATGTTTTTTCACCTTTCCGAAAGCTACCGCTAGATGGTAAGACAGGGTGTATCAATTTTGAGTAAATTAGCGTCCTTAAATTTCGAAATATTGCAGTTTCAAGCATTTCTGAAATTTACCGTTATATGAAAAGCGGGCGTAATTTTAGTCCGATTTCAATAATTTTCAGCATTTAGCTTTTATGTGGCAAGCAGAATAACCATACCGAGTTTGGTACAAATTGGTATAACGGTTACCGAGATACATAAATGTGATCATAAGTGGGCGGTGCCACGCCCATTTTCCAAAATTTTACCATAAACGTACTTTTTGATAAAGAATTGTTGCATGCATAAATTTTGAATAAATTAGCTTTATAATTTCCTGATTTATCGAAGATTTTGTATTTCTCTAAATTACCGTTATATGGGATGTGGGCGTGGTTATTNTCTATTCATTCTGAGCATTTATGTATACATTTGTCTATATCTATCTCGATTCGTTTTGGCTGTTACAAACAACCGTTATGTGAACAAAATTAATACACCCTTGTGCACAAGTGCGCTCGGGTATAAAAAAAGTACGTCCATGGCGTATGAGCAACATTCTCAGCTCTTCTGAGTATTCAAACGCGATCTTTCGCGCCGCTAAATTTGACCTTGGTTATCTAAAAATCTAAAGCTGATGAATATTTTATATTTATGGACTCGTAATCAGCCCAAAAAAGTCTATCAAAAACAGCTTTGATATCGTCCGCACCAAAATCAATGTCGCCCTGTTTAATCAGACTTAGGTTCCCAGCCCTGGCATTTGAACTTTGTAACTTTGAGTTGACCAGGAATTGGTCTCACCTAGGAAAGAGATGAATTTTCTTGAGCTGAAAAAGCCGCTCCTCTAAATACTAATGGATGTATTAACAGTACATTGTGCGATTGGTATTTACGTAGTTAGACGTAATATCAACTAGGATCCTCAATGTCGCAGCTATCTAGAATAGTACTCTTCAACCAGCCTTGAGGAGCTTACCGGGACTAATATCTGCCGACTGCGAAATTTCGTTCAACAAACACAGCGTGTTTTGCATGGTACCCAACATTACTTGGTAATACATCTATTTTAAAAGATGCATTATCTTCAGTTTTGCATAAGGAATAAGATTCCATTGCGAAATTGTATTTAAATGGAAACTTAAAAAGGATATACTAAAAAATTAAAAATAATCATATACAGTTGCGTATGTACGAAGTCATCATATGAGCAAAAGAAATGTGCATTGTTGGTGCGTACCTTATTCTTTTTTTTTAGCTAGAAATCGAGTGCTGAAATTGGATTTCTTAGCTTTTTTTTGTCCGTTTAGCTTTTTCTTTGGAATAGATGAAACATTTTTGAAAAAATCTTTTCGGTGTCTGCCTTATCTGATCCGTGTTTTCTTCTCATGCAAAGAAACAACAAGTTTGAAGGCGAAAGCACTTTTTTACACAAGCTTTTTGCGCCTATTATGCGGGCTTCTTACTAAACTTTTACACACATTTTTTATAATAACATCGCAAGCACAAACTTACTAAAGCCTTATACATTATTTTATATATTAACATACGCACATGTATGTGTGTATGTATGTACATCTAAAATGTACATACATCGTTTTCAGGAGAAATGTTAAAATATACCGACTTTTTTTAGAACCAAATGTCTACAAAAATCTAAAATTTTCTTCATAATTCATGCTATGTCTGTAAAGGATATAAGTGGACACGCTTCCTCGTTGCACAAAAGCCATAAAATGTTAAAAAAACCTTGCAGCAATGTTATTAATAGACTGCGGATTTTTAAGGAGGAAAACGAAGCTAACTTAACGAAGAATGCTTAACTATAAGCAAAATAAATCAATTTGTAAATATTTTGATATGCATAGTTATCGGGTACATATTTCCAGACTTCGTTTTCTGCATAAACATCCGCCGCCTAGTTATTAATTTCCAAATAAATATGGGTGTTTTTAGCTTTCAATATTCAGCCAAATATTGGCTAGTCTCGTTTTTGAAATTTACGAATTGTGAAGGAAATGCATATTTTATTAAAATTTGCTTATCATTATAGGAAGGACTATTTCTACAATCAAAGGCACTGTTTTTCCCAGAAATCTTCTAAGAACTGCTTTCTACTTATTCCAAAAATTATACCATTCGACCAGTTGCTATTATCAAAGACACAAACCTCAAAGAGAGTTGGGAGCATAAATTTCGCTAAATAACAATTTAAAGAACGTATTTGTGGTAACATTCACACGTTCTCTGTTGATTTACGATATTTATTTACGTTCATTGAATTATGGTTCAAGTCTTAAATAGCGAACGCAGAGCAGAGAACGTATAAAAAAAATTCGTCGCTTGGCGTGCAATACCGCATATACGCAAAATGCCAATAGATGACTGCCGCATATATTAAAAAAGCTTTTTGTGCAGTTGTACAAGAGAGCGTTTATAAATGAGAAGGCGTACTTTGAAAAGACTGACGAGTACGTACGAGTAGGGCCATGTACGATACGGCGTATGAGTAACGTTATTTCCTGCTACTATGTATTTCATAAAAAAAATATTCAATTGACCATTCAAAATGATGGATAAACACCATCGATATTCATCGTTGGTAGCTTGATTTTTTTTGGAAAAGGAACAGGCTTTTATGTAAATGAAAAAAGTTTCAAAAATATTTGTTATATTTATAATTTTTTCCTTGTTGAAAATGTTTTTTTTTTCATAATAATAAAAATATCTTGCGAAAATTAATTAACCTAATTATTCTCATATGATTCAAAATACGAACACCCTAAAAAACTGTCGAATTTAGACAGTAACTGGCACTTTATTATGTAATTAAAGCACTCGGCTGCGGTCACATCAATTGATAAAATATTTACAGTTACACTCACTCGTGAGAGTTGTGTATTTATTTACCTTTATCTTCGCTTGATTTTGATATCAACAATTTGTAACTACATATCGTCAGAGGATCGCCCTATCTCGGTTGTCGGTTCTAAAATGGTTTCTCTCAGCAAATGGTTGAAGAAACCCCCATCTTAAAATTTTGTTCCAAAAAATGTGATCAATAAAATAAGACACATTTTAATTGGTTCTTAATAAATTTTCTATTTCTTTTTTTTAAGAATATGTATGTATAAAATTTGTTTACAATAACTAGCTATTTACTCAAACACATTCAAACTTAAAAGCTAAGTGTTCGTTCATACAATTGCTTTTGTTAAGTACTTAGTACATGTGTGGCTTATGTCGTACAAAGAATGTACATATATATGTACCATACAGAAAATAAGCTTGCGCACATATCTAATAGCTATACATACAAACACGCATACTAATATAAATAATACTTTCGAGTAATTACAATTTGCAAAGCTAACTAACTAACTAATTAATAAATTAATTGTGCACAAAAAAGCATTAATAACAAAATTAATACAAAAATCTTAACGACTATATGCATGACTAATTGTGATTTCAATAAATATACTTCCATGTGGAATGTGCGCTCTTACGCCTAAATGAATGCAATAAATAGTTAAATAAATAATGTGATGCATACTTTTTGAGGAACTCTAGCCTATCACTAATTCATTTATGTATGGATACTTAGTTGCTAATGGAATGTTTGATACTTGTAGTAGTTTAAGTAGCTTAATATTTGTGAGTTGGGCTCAACACCCGCGCGGGCACTGGGCGGCAATGGCATAGCTTCTTTTTTTTTGTTTTTAGTTTCACTATTCGAATGGCACAAACTGGAAGTAGTTGACTTTGGTTCTCACCATCAGGCATACGTCTATACGCCCAGCGAAAACTCATTGCTTAACGCCACACTTGCTGTCGGCGCAAAGGATTCACTACCCGATGTCTCGCCAACACTATAGTCCAACGCCTGCGCCAATGCTGCCCATTGGCTGCTACTCTCATTGCTATTTGCTGCCACCGATTTGGCAGATGCACGTACAGCTGCTCGATTTCTTCTCAGCTGTTGCCGTATTATATGGAACATACGTTGCACATATTTGCTATAGCGTTGTTTGGCAAACTTCAGATCAATGGGATCTACGCCGCGCTCGGCTACGCGCCTGTCATCTCTCGAATAGAATTTCAGTTTCTTTTGCATTTCTTCGCTTGTTATTGTTGTTAGTTTGGCATGTGGATGTGTGTTGTTCAGCGTTGTTTCCACTTCGCAAAGTAAACGTTTCGCGCTGAGTAGCAGGGAATTGAGTTCGTGCGTTAATTCGGTTGTATGTTGACGCTTCTCCTGATCCCAGCGATATTGCTTGATACCCAATTCGACAAAGGAGGCGACGAATTTCTGCATGCCACGATGCCAGTGACGGAGTTCGATCTGGAAGAGAGTAAAGACATAAGAATTGCCATTAGTTACGGTCACTGTGATTTGGTCTAGGTTATCAATGCCGGTATGGTCACATTCATACAAATGAAGATTCAATCATCAGTTCAGGTGTTCTTTGACTCCGAAGAATCAATACAATTTCTCGATATATGAGTTCATGTTTCTCTCGCTGCGACGATTTTGTTGTACAGTACATTTTTTTTTAAATTTTTGGAAAAATTTTATTTTATTTAAATTTTATCAAGTTTTAATAAAAATGTAGTTCAAACTACAACAAAACCCATACAACTCAAAGTTTCTAACTGTACCAATTAAAAAAAAATTTCATAAAAATTTCATATATGAAATTAGCGTTAAAACAGACCATAGCTTGATTTTAGTTAAGAACGTTTTATTGCAAATATTTTTAGTTTAAGAAAAATATCAGTTTTTTTCGCACAACTGTTTCGCCAGAAGGGTCAGCTATTGTCATGTTTCGCTTTACGCAGAAAGAAAAATTCTAACAATCCGTTACTATACGTTTAATAAAAAATTTCCATTTTCGCTAATTCCGTTCTAATTTTGCATTTTTGCTTTTTGTCTCAACTCATTGCTATGCTTTTAAATTGCTAAAAAATCCAACCGGGAAATTCCTCTAAGCACCCACAAGCTATCGATTTAATTGAGGGAAAACACAGAGAACGAAATTCGATGCAATGATAAGCAGACGAGCCCCCATTTTTACAGTGAAACGAATTCACAAAAAAGGAAACAACAAAAAAAAACTACATATGTACATACATACATACATACGCGTGTCACATAACAAACAATCAACAAGCTAAATAACTTTTAACTGACAACAATAGATACTAGTATGTATATACATATGTAAGTATGCATGTGAATGCAGCAAAAGGCATCAGCTATGGCAGCAATAAAAAAAAAATCATAACAAAATCGGCTGCCTTTACAGACACTGTCAAATAGGCGAGCTCAATGAAAGTGCGCGACAAAAAAAAAACGAAATGTAAATAAGTATATCACAAAAAGCCATTTGAATACATTGTATGTATATATGTATCTACCTACTACATGCACACGTACTTATCGCATATGAATTTAGTGTGTTTTATATCCATATGTATGTACATATGTGAATACAACTTGCAGTGTCTAGCTGTCTGTGGTAAGCCGATACAAAGTGACTAAACTTTTGCATTAGTCATCGGATTTCTTTTGCCGGCACTGATGACAATACGTCACTACGTCACGCAATGACTTGAAAAAATGCATGATTGTGGGCATTAAAATACGAGCAAATAAACATATCTACTACACTCACGGTCACAATAATAGGTAGGCAATTCAAAATGATATCGTTTGCAATTTATGTTTATTTATTAATTTTTAAGAGTTTTGATTTCAACTGCCCATCAAAAATTCAAACTTTTGTTTCAGAATGTTAGAAAATTTTCAAAAAAAAAATTATCAAACTTTAAAAATTTTCATCAAAATTTCAAACATTTTTTTTAAGAATTTTCAGAAATTTTTCGAGTATGCAGTTTTTAGCGCATTAAATTTTTCAAAAAACTTCATCAAAATTTCAAACTTTTTATTTAGAATTTTCCCATTCAATTTTAGTATAGCAAAGAGCAATTTTCAAGTCACTAAAGATTACCGTTGATTTTTTAGATTTTTTTTTTTTGGCCTGGGTGTTGTGCATTCTGCCAAATAAAAACAAATTTTGTTCATGGAACAAAATGCAGAACATGCTCGACAAAAGAAATTCTAAAAAATCAAAGCTAATTTTTGGTGACTTCAAACTGGCACTTTATTGTACTAAAATTAAATGGAAAAATTCTAAATAAAAAGTTTGAAATTTTGATGATTTTTTTTTTTTTTTTTGAAAAATTGATTGCGCTAAAAACTGTATATACTGTCCTAAACATAAATCAGTAAACACAAGTGACAAATAATATCATTTGGAATTTTTTACCTATTATTATGACCATCAGTGTATATTGACATACAAATGTATGCACAAGTATCAGGCATACTCGTTAAATTTGCTTATTAAATGAAAACTAAAAATAAAAAATAAAGCAATCATCACAGCTGCGAGCTGCGTTGCGTTGAGCTTTTAAGCGGCCGTTGAACAGTTGGAGGGTTATAAGATTTAAGTGGGTGCTTTGACTGGAAAGTGGCGCTTATGCAAGTTGCGTTTAATTGAAATCGGTCAAAAGCGGGACGAAAGTGTTTAATTTTTTATGCAAATATTCATGAGCTCAAATATGTACATATGTATGTATGAGCGTCTTTTCATAATTTTTCTATATTTGCCTTTTGCTGCTATAAATTTTTGTTGTTGTAATCAATATCTAATTATTGTTTGCAAATGCTTTAAATTTTCGTTTTTTTTTTCTTGCTCACTTCACATAGCAATTTTCCCAGTAGTCAATTAATTTTCACACACCATTCGTGCGCACACTCTGACTGCCATACAATTATAGTTAGTATAAACTTTTATTTGTCTACTCACTTTAGCTGTACGATTCAAACTAGGCAGGAATCGATATTTCTTGCTATACAATCGCCATGTATGCATGTCATCGATATTGATTTTATGCAGCGTACTAAGCGTCGCATTCTCGTAGCGCAGCGATCTTGTTAGTAGCATCAACTAAACAAATATGAAATCGAAAAAAAATAAATAAATTATTAATTAATTGCAAACAATTATCGCTTATCGCGCTTGCTGTTCTCACTCACCTGTCGGCGCACGTGTTTGTTATTGCCGGCACGCGTCGCATGCGCACTGCGCGGCATCACCTGCTGTCCACCGCATGCATTCAGCCATTCGAGCGGCAACTCCGCTGCATTTGCCAGCGCTGCGCTCGCCAATTCGCTCAAACGTATGTTGGCATTGTGGCGCTTGCGTAGGCGCTTTCTCCGCCCACTCTGCCCGCTTGCCAAGCTGCCGCCGGCTAGCTGTTGCAGCACTGCAGGTTGGCTGTTGCTGAGCGTGTTTTCCGCGCTGTCAGCGCTGGGTAATACTGTTATGATGTTGGCGTATGCGGCGGCGGAGGAGGCAGACGTTTCTTTGGCGTCATATAAGGATGCGGCTGTGCTGTTGGCCGGCATTTGTGCGAATACTGTTAGCATTGTTAACATTAGCACTGTCAATGTTGTTGTTAACTGTTTTGTTTGTTTGTGTGTTTGTTGCGCGATTGTGGCACCTGAAGGCATTGTGGTGGCATTTATTGTTTCTTCACTTGGCATAGCCATTGTGTTATGTTGTGTGATGATGGTTGGAATGCGTTACTGCAAAGAAGGAGACGGGTACGAGTTTAGAAGTTTTGCTATTTTTAAAATAATTCAATTTATTATGTGTAGAAAGCGTCTAAAAATTTTCTAAAAAAATTAAATGTTTTTGAGGTTTGTGTAAATTTTTTTCTAGAGAAATAATTTAAATTTCTTTGAAAGTAAAAAATACAAATTTACTATATAAATTAATAGTCACGGATTTTACCAAATTAAAAAATTATTAAAATTAAATTTTTTTTAGAAATAGTTTCAAAATTTTTCAAACAATTATAACTGTTTGAGTTATTGATGCTAATATGGAAGATACTGAGAGCTAGTTTAAAAGAAATATTTTTCGAACTTTTTTTAATAATTAGTTTCTTTTAATTTTCAACAATGAATTTGCTATAAATAAGATTTAAGAAAGTATTTTTGGAAATCAATAAATTTTTGTGAAAGTGTTCCAACATTACGAAAATTTTACTTAGTAAAATGTCAACTTATTACAACTTTGAAAAAAAATATGTAAAAGTAACGTTTTGTAGAGTTTCTTATTCTTTTATTTTCATACATGATTTTTTTCAAATTGAAATTTTTGTCGAAATAAAAATTTTTCCTAAAATTTGTTAAAAGAAAAAAATTATGACTAAATTATAAAAAAAATTATTAAATACCCTTACACAGTAATTTGTAAACAAATTTTCCAAATTTTCTAAAATATTTTATCTAATTTTAATTGTGTTAGTTAGTGTTTTAATAGCATTACTTGCAAAAAAAAAATACACATTTTATACATACATACATATGCACATTTTTTTTAAATACGTTATCAAGTTTCTTATAGAAAAAACTGCACCCTAGCAGTCACCTCTGCTGTTCATCAACAAAAACTCGCATATAAATACTTAAGTAGTTTTTCACTCACACACCTTAAAGTCCGCTTTCATAAATATGTAGCTGACATTTACAACAACTTATCATCGGTAATAAATCCTACAAATATGTTAATTAATATTGCAAAATGCCTGCTAGGCAAAAATATTATCATATTACGAGACTAAACGGGTAGTAAACAGTAGGCTAGCATTAGCAACAACAGCAACAACCACCGAAAAAGCAACAAGCGCCTGAGCAGTTAGCAGTCAGCTCAAATTATCAAGTGTCATTCGAACCTACAAGAAACGTGGTGCGGCGCACATGCGAGGAGTGCTACTGCAAACAAGAAGAAGAAGAAGAACAGTAAGTCAAAGAGTCAACAACATACGCCAGCAACAAGTGGTTGGCAGCGGCAGCAGCAGCAGCAGCAGCAATAGCTGCATGCCACAAACAAACTAGGCAGCAAAAGGTGAGCGTTAAACATTTGCCGTTGACATGACAAATGCAGCAGATGCACAAACACATATGCGCTGAAATATGTAATTGGCTAGCTTAGTGGTCACAGTTTAGTATTGCAAATTACAAGTTGCAAATATACAATTTTTTTATGTGTCTAATGCGACAGCTCATAATTGCAGGCGACCCGAGCAGCTAAACATAGACACAAATGCACATGCAATTTTAGTTTCTGTTTGTATGTTTTCTGCGTCTGTGCATTTAAAAAAAATTTGGCGATTTCGCTGTGACACGCATGCGTACCAACAATAATGCGACGTGCCGGCGACAACGTGCGAAAAAGTGGCTATAAAATGTGCGCGTACGTTGATGACGTCCATGCATATATGTACCTGTGCAACTCAGCTGAAGCAAGCAGGTGTGTTAAGATGCTTGGCTGTGCGGCTGTGACACACGCTCGTAGGCGTTTGTGCGCTCCAAGCTAACACATGCGCATAGTAATCATGTCTTTGTCATTAAAATGGAATGAAAGGTCGTTTTTGTTTAGGGTTTTTGCCTGGTTTATTGGCGCTGTGGTCGCTGCTGTTGTGTTGTTGCTTTAGGTATTTTATTTGTTTTTTTTTGTGGTTTCGAATTTTATTATATTTTCGTTCGCGTTTTATTTTCGAACTGTTTCTTTAAAAAAAAGGCGAAGTGAAGGTGAAGGTAAAGTTTTAACCTATATTTGGCAGGCGTGACGACATAATAATGACGACATCATAGTTAATGCTGGTTAACATGGTTGCATGAATGCATACATAAATACATATATGTGTACATATTTACTATATATGTACAAGAAAAAATAGTTTTCAAACCATATAAGCCAATAAAAACTAGCGAGGTGGCTGAAGTGACGACCGAAGTGATTATAAAAGCAGCTAAGCTAGCTGGAGACTGCAAAGTCCAGGTCCTGACGGCATTCCAAACCAGGAATTAAAAATTGCATAACTAAAAAATCCGCATTCCTTTGCTAAAGTGCTGCAGCTATGTCTAATGTAGATACGTGTCTCTGAACATATGAAAAAAGTACTTCTCAACTTTCTGTACTTCTAAAAATTTAAAATTTTTCTTTAAACAAATTTACCGTTGTAATTTTTTTTTTAATTTAATGGAAGTTGTAGCAGTTAGTGCGAAAAGCTTTGTCTTGAAATAACTAAAACAAAAAATATTCAAGATTTCATAAAAAGGAAATTTTAATTGTAAAAAAGGTGTGATTTTTTGTATAATTTGTTTTTTTTTTTTAATAAATTCATCTGTTCCAAAGTTGTTATGAAAAGTGTAAAACTTTTTGCAATTGAATAAAATTTGAATTAAATGAAAATCCAAGCACAGAATTTTATATAAAAAAACGTAATTAATAATTTTTTTAAAAATTTTCTTAAAACTCTGCATTTAATAACCTTTCTTATTTTTATTAAATTTTCTCTTATCAAAATTTTTAGTTTTGTTATTTTGCGTATGAAAATTGTTTATTTTTTTTTTAATAAAGTGAAAATCTTATGTCGAATTTCCACTAGGCATTTAAATGACAAAAAATGTATGCTATTTAAAAAAATTACATGTGGAAATCAACTTAATGACCATTTTTTACAGAAAATGACACGATAATTTTTTAATGCTCAACTTTGTCATTTGTCATTTTTGCCATTTAATGCATAGTGGAAATCCAGCATTACGGTCGGTGTTACGAAAGAAATTTAAGTGAAAGATAATTATTTTTTCTGTAATTTTCCACATTAAATACAAATAAAAATCATTTTTCACTTAAATTGCTTTCTTGAAAAGCTATTTCAAGACCTTCCCAAGAAATACAAAATTTCATCAAACCAACTTAAATACAAATTTAAACATTTCAAAATTTTATTAGAAAATTAAATTTTTTACGAAAACGTTTAAAATTAAAAAAAAAAAATCGTCTCTCTATTTAAGTATGTAGTTACGTTTTGCATATAAAAAGTTTTTGAATATTTGAAATAATAAAAAATGAATTGAATAAAAAATTAACTATACCTCATTAGATATGAATACAGATTTTAAAAAATTTATTTCACACATAGAATTCGAGAAAAAAAAATTTTAAAGACATTTTGTTTTAAAATAGTGTAGGTATGCACTTTCGTTCCAAAATATTATGCCATAGATTAGTGTTAACAGAAAATACTTGGATGCTAAAGGGTTAAAGCAAATAACAACCAACACCGTAATTTTACATACCTTTCGCGTCTTAAAAAATACTGTTCGTTGCTTGTTTCCGCAGAAAATCACTTTTAAGTTTCTGCTTGTCACTTTCGTTGACACACTGTTGTCTGATTTTAGTATAAATTAATTTTCAATAAATAATATTTTAGTAACTTTTAATGTGCCTCGTTAGAAATAAATATGCTGTACGCTTCTTATAGGCGCGCCAGCTAATTCGTTTCCTATGATCACGTGACGCGTAATCAATTTTTTTATGAATAAATATTTTTTTTCACAGCTCCTTTGTTTTAAGTTGACTGGATTAACTTGTTGTAAATGTAAATTTATTAATCAATCTTTATTGCTTTCGTTTCAATTAGTTTCTATCGTTTATGTTTTTTGTTTATAACTTTTATTACGAGTAATTTATTTCAATTAGCTTTGAACTGCTCGTTTCTCGTATTTATACTTAAATAATATCGTTGCTTACGTTTCGCAGTCTTTTTATGAACTAACGTAAAACGTTTAAATGTCGACTCTCTTAAGAGCTTGTCGACAACGACAACGACAACGCCGGCATCCAGCGTTTCCGCACATAGGCGCACAGACACACACACACGCGCATGGCGCGTTAGTCAGCATGGCACGCTTGCGACCGGCTTGAGTCGTCTCCCTCACATTTTTTTTTGTATTTACACGAGTTACGGCGAGTTAATATCTAACAAGCGTAGAGAATTGAGTAAAAAGATAAAATAACTAAATAAATAAAGGCAAAACACCGCAAGCGAGTAGGTGTCTTCGGTGCATGAGTGAGTGCATAACAGCTATGCCTCTGTGTTTTTATTGGTGTGCGTCAGCGCCTAACAAATAGGGTCCGCTATCCAGCCATGCCCTCGTCCAGCCAAGCGTCTCAGCCAAGAGGCGACCAAAAATCGAAAAATAAAACGAAAACGAAAAATCGCACAAAATTGCAATTACTCATCGGCATTTACCGCATGCAGCAATGTATGGATGAGCGCATCGGCGGCAACACGATGTACTGTTGTTTTTTCGGTATCCAAGTATGAGCGTCTTTCATTCAAAAAGTATCCAAAATCGCAATCAGTTTAGATTCTATTCGTAGGGAAGGCAATCGGCACCTTTCATTCTATAGGGGCCAGCAGTCGCCATGCATGAGGGTGTACATAGTATGTGTGCGTATGTGTATGCTTCCTTTGAGATCTAGCCTATGGCTTGTTGGCTATGAGTGCTGAGTGGGCTGGTGGGTCACATGCCACTCATTCACTCATTCCGCTATTTTTATATTTACATTTTACGCTCTTGCCGCGCATTTGAGTGTTTTGCTGTGCAACATAAAGGTGTTGTAAAACAACTTACAAACATTCCCCAAGTAAAAACACACAAATTAAAGGTGAGCACATTTGTATGTA